TGATATCTTATTTCTTAAAAACAATTCGTTATAACGAGATACCCTTCACGTTATAATAAGATATTACAAGATAACATACTCATTATATTAAGATACCTATATCGAAATAAGATATGAATTTGTTAAAACAAGATATTAACTCGCTAATTATACGAGAAAATCATTTTAACATAACGGGTTAAATATTTATTTCAATCTTAGAAAAATGAGATATTATATGAAGACGACATGAAATAGTTTTAAATGTATTATAGAGTGTAGCAGAATTAAAGGGCAAGAAGCAGCTAACACGCGATATAGATCTATAAATACGTACCTTTTCGGTATGTAAATATAACCATAATGAAAATGAATTCCAAAAAAACTCGATATATCCCTTTGATCTTTGAATGAAAAAGAAATTAAACAAATTTTAAGTGTTGCATTAAAAAAAAATTGGTGTGTTTGGTCTATCTAATTTTTAATGACCTTATCTAAGTATTCAACATACATGTATAGATGTCTGCTATGAAGTATTGATAATCAATATATTTCACAATTATTAAGTGCATTAAAAAGTTATAACAATTATATATTTTGGATAGTTCATTCTCCTTGCTAAAAAATCTAATTCAGCATGTGATCTCCCTCTCCCTTCATCACTGGTTATTGCCTGACGCCACGTGCGTCAGGCAGTATAAGGATTAATATTTCAGGGATCCGAAACTAAGCAATCATTCTTAATGAACTAGATTTTCTGCAAGCTGATTTACATCGGAATTTGTTACCTGCATTTAAACAAATACAGTTTGCAGAAGAAAGAATCATATAACTGATGCAAAATAATGATGTGTTTAATTCCTTCAATTTTTTTTTGCATGCACATATTTATTCTTTGCGATTCTTTGTACGAACATGTCCGTGTAACATTTTTTCTGCGTTTCTAAACTACTGGATCAGTCCATTTGCCTTCTACGAAAGGGGTGACACAATCATTTCGCGCCTAGTGTCATGTAAATTATCTTGGCGCCTTTTTCTTGGGTTGTTCTATTGAATGGGTGTGATAACTTCTATGGAAATAAATAAAGTTTATTCTTTTAACATGATTCTTAAGCTCCAGATTTTTTATTAACAGTAAATTTTATCTCATTTTTTTAAGAGAACACATTGTATATGTACAAGCAACACTAAAGCAATGGATTTGCTGATTATTCTTACTATTTAATCCATAAGTGGACTAGTCTAATCATAAACAAACTCCCTCCACCCAGTAAATGGGACATCCCTTCTTGATTCTGTTTTCCACCTAGCCTTTCTTTCAACATTACATTTATTAATAATGTACGTTACAAGGTAGTTTTTTTTTTAAAAAAAGCTTAGAAAGTCAGCGAGTAGCATATTATTTCATGCTTTGTGATGAACAAGGGTTTCCTTTTAATACAGTGACAAGAGTGTAGGTCAGTACCCGTAGAGGAATGGGCTTCACTCCCGTAAGGTTCTAAGTAAAGAATCGGCAAAATGAAGAAGACATCAAGATCTGTACTGGTTTTCATTTCATAAAAAAGCACATTATTTTAATTATGAGAAAGGTCCTGAAATCCATTGAAAAGAAAAACTAACACTTTCAAAACTGTATATAAAGATGTATTTTAAGCTCATTTATAATACATGTACTTGACAGTATATGGTAAGACCATCATCGCGTGAGTTTTGTCCGGCGGGGGGGGGGGGGGTTATTAGTATCTTGTTTTGCGCTAGCTATAAAGTGTACAGGTTACTTACTTTGATTTCTAGAGTAGCATTGAAGCGTTTTTGTCTCAAACACTTCAGGACAACTTTCCCAGTTAAAACTTCATAATTTACTTCGTCGTCGAGAACGACGGAAAACAGACCAGTCTATAAAGAGAGGCCGTCTCATCAATCTATCACTGACCATGAAGAAGTGCGCCCTCTAGCAAGAGAGAACATGTAATATGAATTTCTTTAAAACGAATCATCTAACTATTTTCCCAGAATTATCAGTGGCGGATCCAGGAATTTCATAACGGGAGGGTGCAGTAAAAGGCAGGGGATCTGGGGGGGGGCTGTATTGAAACCCCAGTGGATCCAGAGCAAAGCTCTGATGGGGGTTCGGGGGCGAAGCCCCGGAAGCTGACGAATTCTTACAAATAAGAGGTGTTTTTTCCTTGATTTTAGGATAATGAACATATATGTTCTACATAAAAAAACATTCAAAGGGGGGGGGGGCGCACGCTCGGCGCGCCTGTGCTGGATCCGCCTTTGATTATAATCTACGCTAGCGCACTTGCAGTTTCATCCCAACGTAACTAGTCAGATCGTGAGCTAACTAATAAATGACCAAATAGTGGCATGTCTAAGATATTCGTTAATCTGTAGTATTTGGTTATGACATTTGAGAAAGTCAATTGTACATCTTGTATAATGAAGTATCGCAACTATGTCGCTCCTTGATGACGAAAACGCTTAACACCTCTCCTGCATATACGTTCCATAGATATTGATTGATTGATTAGTCAGGCAAGCTTTTTGAAAAGCTATTACTTGTGTCCTTTAAAATTTAGTTGTTTATGTATTATGATTGATCCTCTACTAAAGACTCTAACCACAGGCAATTAGATCCAGTTGGAAGGGGTGTGGAGGGGGCTGAGGAAGGGCTTACTGCGATACTTTTGTTTTACTTCTGCTGTTCATTGAGAATGAATTTCATTGAAAGGTTGACTGGTCCTCTACTACGCTATATTGACAATTCAAAAGATGCGCTCAATATTTACACCTTTACACAATATTATTTTTTCAATGTCCAAAAAGCACCTTCCTTATTTTAATGTCCCTATTTTTTTTTAAACAGTATAAACTAGGAATGGCAATCGAATACATAATTGCTAGTCGGTTAATCGCAAGACGTTCCGACCGATTAGTAGGTTAATCGTATCAAAATACACACTTTTGGACATCTTTTTTTCAGGTAGTTCTATTCATATACATGTACACAAGAAGACTAAAAAAATGTTAGAAGTTAGAAACATCCTGTTTATCTTGATAAGGAAACTACATGTACATATATTTTATTTGAATTTCACTATACAAGAAAAAAGTAAGAAAAACATGAAACATGCGTGCCTGTAAAATCAGACATTGATAATTTTACAGAGCAGATATCTCACAAGTTCATTCTGCATTGTCACCATAATCATAACTATGCGTGGATTTTCACTTAATTTACAATGTTTGTCTAATAATATAATTTAATAGATAGCGGCAGAAGATTAGACATACATGTACTAATTCACAGTGCTCAACGGTGATTTATTAAATATCATCAAAGAATTACAGGAGAGTCGGGGTATCGACATGATGTTTTTAAAAACAGTAATTAACACTTCACAAATTGACCAATTACCCCGCGATATCAATCCGGAGAGCAATAATTACCTCAAAATAAGCTTAAACAGATAGGTGAAAACGCTGAATTATCAACTTTTCTGCAAAGTTTTTTTTTTTTTTTTAAATAAATTTAAAAAAAATTGTGTTCAAATTTATATATATTTCATTTTTTCCGACTAACCGATTACAAATTTTCTAAGCGATTACCTCGTTCCGACCGAGTAATCGGTTAACCGGTTATAAATTGTCATCCTTAGTATAAACATTTTTTTATAGTTTCAAATAGCTTTTTGCAACATTCAAAACTTTATCCAAATCACTTTGAATGTATCAGAAAGCATTAAAAAAGCTTGATATAAGAAAAAGAAAAGGAGAGAAGAATTTGGTCGAATGCAGTAGGCAAATGTAGTGGTTGAATGGGAACTCTAAAGAACATTTTTTTTTTATTTTTAGGAGACTTCTTTTCAAAACTGTTTTTACAATAAATGCTGCATTTTATGAATTACAGTAAGCTTTGATATATATATATATATATATATATATATATATATATATATATATATATATATATATATATATATATATATATATATTGTGTAGTTTCACAGCTTATCTGCATTTATACCACTTCATACATGTAAAAGAACATTTAACGAATATTCCATTTGTAATTATTTTTACATTTAAGCTTGAATAAAAGAAAAAAAATGGCATTCAAAATTTTACTCACAATTCTGTTTTTTCCCACTTCAAAATATAACTTATATTGATCACATCATTTTATTTTTAATAAAAGTAGTTTTTAAAAGTATGTGGGTGCAGGTTTAACTGATTTAGATTCATTCCCTCTTTTAAACTTTTTGTATCTACAGCGTTCTTCATCAGTTAGATAATTGTGCATTAGCCTTTAGCAAATATTCTTTTAATGTTCGAATAGAAATAATGTTCCTTATTTTACTTATATTTGATCTCTTTGTTTGCAATACAAAATGACGCGGAAGAAAGAATGTGCTTAATATCCATCCTTCCAATCGATGAACGGATAAAAGAATCAGTTTCTATACTTTCCAATACGTTTTGTTTCTGTGATATCAGAACAGATTTTTTTTTTACCCTGAAAGCTAATTATACGAAAGTATTCTATTTTCGTCAATGTAAATCCATTGTAAAAGAGGATCGGAAAATCGTGATGGCATACGAGAGAGATGTAAAAAGGTTTTCGTGTACAATCAATTCATTGCCTCTCGACCATGGAGACTGAGACTACTTGGATTAGTATTTCTTTCTCTTTACTAACTTGTTCTTTCTTGAATAATTTCGGTAAGAATAGAAGAAATAATAATAAATAAAATACCCATATAATGAGTCATTTATCAGTATAAATATTTTTAAAGTGGAATAAATTTTGGTGCTCGTAAAACATTTAATTTATCTTTATTGTGGACATAAATATTGCATTTGGAAAGAAGAATGCTTTTCCCAATTTTACTTTCTAAAATTGTTTTGATAAATTAATGTATTTCACTGAAGAGAATTAACTTCATACGATGCAGATCTTACGCATTTTTTTAATAGTTTCTGGAATTGAAACACCTTTTATAAGCTCGTGGTATTTTATGGAATTAAGTGGAGAAAGTCCAATAGTGATTCCTCATCCCCTTAATGAACTACCTGTAAAAGTTGACGTCCAAGTTAAAGTGATTCATGGTGGAATGGAGTATATATTTCCTGGACTTGGATCCGCCCAAAGGGACGATGATATAGCAACAGATTACGGGGGTGTTGGATACATATATAATGAATTAGATGTAAAAATATATGTTCCCGTGGCTCAAAACAATGGCAATGGTCAAGGATGGGTCATTACAACAGGTAAATATCTAGACTGATTTTTTGACATTTGTTAATTCATTTATTTTAAAATACATATTTCAATTACATGCATGCACATTTACAACATACTGTTAGGTATTACGTAATTAAAAGCCTCAATTTTTTTTTCAAGGACATTAACACATTAACCAAACTTAAAAAAAAAAAAAAAAACATTCGTTTGTTTGTATATCTTTAAAATTATATTTCAGTATGATTTACTAAACTTTAATATAAAAAAAAATATATCACTCTTTATAATAGAAAGGTTATAATAATAATAATAATAATAATAATAATAATACACGTATCTTTTATTTAACGCCCATCCCATAATGTTACAGGGGGCAGTTTGTATTCCGGGCCATTTGTTGGAGCTTTTACGACGTGTGAGGTTCGAATTCGAGCATGGAAAATATCGGATTGGCCAAATCCTAACTACTACTTAACGACAACTATTTCAACGTGTAGCTATACGTTTGCATTTAAACATAATATATTATAATGGTTTTTATATACATAGTGCATTCTGTGTGATTTGTACAATACGTTTAAAATAATTCTTGTATAAATGTTTTGTTAGGTAATTGCAACAAAATCTAGAGTTCATTTCTGAAAAAAAAGAGAATATACCGTCATATCGCCTCTACAGAACCTATCAAAAAAAAAAAAAAAAAATAAGCTGAACTTAACATATAAATCATATCTGGAAATAACGTATTAGAATTTTCAAAGATTATTTAACTTCATCGTTTTTCTGATGTTCTAATATACATGTAAATGTTTTCACTATGGTTCTATAGCTTCTCCTTATGTGAATGTTGCTCACAATCTTGGGGTGTATCCCGATTTTGTGACTGTTCAGCTTATCCTCAGTAGCGGATACGTCTCAGAAGCACAAGGTACGTTAACCTCATGCAGCTTTTCATTGTTTGAATTTTTGACATTACAATGTTCATATAAGAATTCTTTGCAGGATATAGGCTGCATTAACTAATTGCACATCCTGATACTATGATGGACATAAAATATTGTGTATTAAATTGGATGTAGAAAACCTTATGGACTAGAACTAAAAAAATGAACACACTATTTCTTTGAGATATTTATTACTTGATTCTTAGAACAGATCTCTTCTTAAAAAAAGAAATCATTGTTTAGCAATCTGTTAGCTACATTTATATTTTTTTTCACTTATTTGCTGTATAGGGGGCATCATTTTACGCAATTTCCTTACTGCTTAAATAGTGATTTGTAATTATTGAAGTATGAAGAAAACGAGCAGTAATCAAGATAAAAATTCATACAAAACAATACAGATTGGGAGGAGAGCAAACGTAGATAAAAAATATATTAGAGGCGGGATCAGGTGCCATGGAGGAGTAAGCACTCCATCATATAAATATATATCATATTTTGATGGTTGTAAATGAAACGTTTTTTCTCTTTAGGTACAACACCTGTAACATTTAACCATGGTGATAAATGGATAAATACCTGCGGTACAGTATTTGGGATTACAGACTCTCATGTGACACTCTGGGGTGCCAGTGAAGCTGGTAAGATTTCTTTTTTCTTCAGATAAATCTCTAGGAAAAAATCAGCTTCTATGTAGTTTCTCAGAGTTAGTACTTTAAGCTAGTCCGATATTACCTATACACCTTCACTGTGTTTGATGTCAACATGGATCCAATATAATTACATAAAGGAAACATAGCTGTATGGTGTACAAATTTCTTATTTATGAAACTTTCCTTCACAATTCGTGTTACAATCCGATTTGTTGGAATTTGGTATTTTTTGAAATATCTATTTTCATCGGTTTAAAGTTGAAATCTAAATGACTTTCAACTTTTCAAAATAATATTGATAGATAATTCTTAAAAAAGTGTTACGTCTTCTATTGAAGATGATTTCATAGCATGCTTTAAAGATGGCTGGGGCAGTGAAGATATTTCATATACCTCAGCTACTGTTGAAATTAGAGCATGGATTCTGACGCTAACAGAAATTCTTCAAAATGACAAATATACATACGATCAAAACAATGGTGTTTTAAATAGCCAAGTGCCACTTACAAGTCTCTTTGATGCTGAATTTCATTTACTCGTTGTTGAGGTATGTTTTGCATTTACAAATGTTATAAAAAAGCAGATTTGAAAAGAAATGGAATACTTTTTTTTTAAGATAAACTTTAAGACTCAATTTTGATCATTGTTCAGTTTCTACCAGTAGGGCTCAAATTCTATTTTATTGACCAGACAAAAGACAACACAGTCCCTAGTGGAAGGATGTTTTATGGAGCTGGGACAGCTAGTCAGGGGGATGCCGGTGAATCTTTTGGAGGTACTTTGTATGGGTATAACAGCTCTCACGTTCTTTTATGGACACCTGCCCTGTCCTATGGGTACCCTATATATGTTGGAGGTGTCTGGGCTGGAGGAACAGATTCTTTACAAAGTTCTTCTGTTGATGTGTCTGTAAAAGTTATTGCCACAGGGACAGTTCCTCAGGGTAAAGATATTCTTAAAATATGTTCAAATCCACCAGGAAATAGGAATTTTAGCGACAATTTTTGAAGTTATAAAAATAATATATATTACTTTTTGAAAATGTAATGGAAAGGGTTTTTGTGTTAGGTTTATTTGCTTTGAATTTATTTTCCACTGATGTAGAAAAGAACATTTGAAATAGAATAATTTAAACATCTTTTGACTTTAATCTTTTTTTCCAATGTGTATGCATATGGAAACCTTACTTTTACCAAAATGGGTAAGCTACACTGAAATAATTATGATAAAGAATGCAATTGATTTTCTAAATATTCCCTTTCTAAATAACGACATATGAGGGAAAATACATTTACAATTAGAAGAAAATATTATGTAAACAATTTTTTTAATATATATTTTTGCGGTTTGTGTAGGAGATGGGTGTTGGTGGGGTGGGGTAGTTGAAAGAATTCATTATGGTTAGAAAATATGCTTTAAAATAATAATATTTGTTTCAGTTGGCTGTTCATCTCCACCAAGTATTTCTAATGGATACTATGTAGTAACTAATGACTCTGCAGTTTACCATTGTAACACTGGATACATGGCAAACCAAACTAACAATATCGTCTATTGCAATAACTCGCAATGGGATCATATCTCGCTGCGTTGTGAAGGTTGGTCGATTCTACTTGCTTAATCTTGGTTTTGAGTTAGAATTGTTCTTTGAAACGAGAATCTTATTTGTATAATCAAGGTTATAATTCCTAAGTCTTTGAAAGGTCTGGTCTACATATTGCGTTGGGATAATCTGTAAAATTATTACATAATAAACCATTCACAGTTAACAGGCAAATATTTCCCTATGAAATAATTTTATGACGTATTTCTTTATTTCTGAACAAAAGCGAATCTTTGATGCTACACTTTTTATGTTTTGTTCATAAGATTCGAATGAAAAAAGGATAAAATCTTCATAATTTTTTTCTGTAGGGGAGAAATGAATTTAATATAGTCATTTGTTATCCTGAAACACATCTGAAATGTTAAGAACAATAATTTCGAAGCGCTGTGACTATTTTGAATATTCTAGAAAGATATACGAACTACTTCCTGAATGAACATTGAACTTTTTTTGTCCTTCAAGAGATGTTGTGTCCCACCCCGACAGAAATTCCTAATGCCATAGAAATATCAAATGGGACCCAGAATGGAAGCGTGACATTATATTCATGCCTAACGGGATATTGGGGGAATAGCGGTAGTAGGTTTATATCTTGCAACGGGACCCACTGGTCTGATACAAATTTCAGGTGTACTGGTATGCGATGATTTGTAAAGTTTTCTTTAATTAAATTTAAAATATCAATTTTTATTGATTGCTAAACTTTACATAAATATAATTCAGTATCATTGAAATTCGTGTGAAATACAATATCTAAGTGAATTTTGAATTTTTTTTTTTTTATAAATCTTAAAATAAATGTTAAGCTCACAGATTGCTTTTAATTATTCTTTTTAGGAACTTCATTCACATCCTGTGGAATTCCGACAGCAATACCACATGCTTATTTTGATGTTGAAAACAGAACAGCTACTTATTACTGTCATGATGGTTACACAGCAAATGAAACTAACACTTCCATTACTTGTGTAAACGGACTGTGGGGTCAGCCTACTCTCTCCTGCTTAAGTAAGCGCATTCTGATGGTTTTGATTGATTGTGATTAATAGATTGTAGTGAAAAGCTCCGGGAAGAATTAAGCACTCAGCTATAGGTGAGTTGGTGTTTTTATTGATGCAAAAAAGTACCTTTGGCGCCATCCCTCGTTATCATAAACAGCAGTTGATAAGATCTCACCGAAAATACCCCTTACTACCACGTGCTGAAATAAATCGAGTATTGATTTAAAAATAATACTGGTTTCCTTGCTGAATTTTTTTCAAGGAAGAAAATAAAATAGGTTAATTATACCGTATATCGGGAAATAATTGAATGTGCGCTGCAGAAGTTTTCCTTTTTTTTAGTAAATCAAAAAAAAATAAATAAATAAAAAAATAAAATTAAAAAATAAAAAAAATAAAAGAAAATACAATAAATGAATTAATAATAATAATAAATAATCGCTAAGAAAAGCACTAAAATTTCCACAAACTCTTACAGAATTATGTGCTTTGTTTACAATTTGCCGACTCCTGACCAGTGTATTTGGTAGACTATCTAGCTTGTTGGCAGGTGCAGAATGTATTGTTGGGTAAAAGCCAAGGTTTGAGAGGGACCACTGTAAAACTCTGAGAAATCAAGAGTTTAAAACTAGTTCGGCATAATTAACGCTGCTTATAATAAGTATACATGCATTCATCAGTAAGGGATTCTTTATAATAATTAATTTGTATAATTTTTTTTTTAGAAATGTTAACAAATTTATACTTTCATCAAAAAATGTCATAATTTCAGCATAAAATGCAATCTTAATGGATATGTTATGCAAATTTAAATTTAATTGAAATGGCATAACTTATTAAAAAAAGAAAGTAGAAAACGTCGACGAATATGTAGATAAATAATGTAAATAAACAAAATGCCGTTTGTAAAATTGATGCGTAAATATTGTATTATTATTCTTTTTGTTCTCTTTTGATTGTTTGCCCAATTTGCGTAAAAAAAAGCAATTGGTCATTAATCCGTAACCTTTCTGTATTATCGATTATAGAAATTTTTATTTAGCTTTATTCTAAAGCTTAGAGCCCATTGCATGATCAATTTTGTAAACAATCAAATGGTTTATCTATAAGGGACTCCTTTTAGTTCAATATTCAATTTAGCAATTTGCAATTTAAACCCGGGTAAAGATTAACAAACCCATAAAGGGAGCTCACAAGCGTGGTGTAGTCTATAGGACTGGAAAATACATCGCATTATTTAGTTTTTATTTAAGATGAAAGTTCGCCAAAATATAAACGTCATAATCTAAAATAATTTTTTTCATATCATATTCGCGTAATGTTCCAGAAGCAAAGACTTTTTCTATTATCATATTCGCATAATGTTCCAGAAGCAAAGATTTCCCAAGGAATGGTAATTATGAGTTGAAAGGGGAGGTTCAAGCAAGTCCCTAACTGCTATTATCAGCCTCCAAATGATTTGCAGTGAAAATTCTGTATTTTTGTGATTACAATCTTAATTGATCTACTACATTTGATAATATCTTCATAAATGAATATCATTTTTGACATAAAAAAGTAGCTCTTCTTCTTTTTTAAATGTACTTTCATCAAAATTATAGTTCCATACGTGTATTTCACGTTTTTTAGAGCCAAGATGAAGAATAATATTTCATCTGTACAGGAAACTTTGCTAGTAATTCGTATGAAACTTTGCTGTCAATCATATCTCGACTAATTGATTTCATTTACACTTGATGTTCGATTATTTGAGGAGAATTTTAAACTTTTTTGTTTGTGTCAGGAGAAAATACAAAAATAATGCTGACGCAGTGTCATCGAGTTTTATAAAAGATACATGTTAGTAATATTAACCAGGAAGTATGCTTTGAGATAAGTACACTTTGTAGATTACATGGAAAAATAATGCATGGTATTCTTAATCGATCCTACGTAGAAAGTACAACATTTGAATTTTTTCTAACAATACAGAGTAAACATGCATGTTCCTCGTCATGTTCACCGTAAATTTACCAGTATGCTTAGATCAAACAAAATATTTTGAGATGTTTGATTTCATTGATAAAAATTCATTATTAAAACGTTTTAGAAGAAATTCGATGTACACATGTCTTAAACTTTTTATCAATTTTGTTTCAGATTCAATAGCTAGGAAACCCACGAAGAAAATAATATACGCAATTTCTAAAACACTGGGCAAGATGAAAATAGACAAACCCTCACATCGATATTGATGACAATGATTCACTAAATTGATAGAACGCAGAATTAAACAAATATATATGGATTTAATATTTCAGATATATCATGCTCAGATCCACCAGAAATCCAAAACGCAATGAAGCTGTCAGATGGGTTAGAGAACGGAAGTTCAACATTATACACGTGCATGCCGGGATTCACATCAAATAATGGACAACCGAAAATATCGTGTAATGAATCGAAGTGGACATCAACAAATTTTACATGCTTAAGTATGTAGTATATATTCTTTTTTTTTTTTTTGGAAAAAAAAAGAATAGAAAAAAGGCAATTAATATAAAATTGCGATGTCTTTTTTTAAGATTTTCTTACATCTTGTAAGAATTTAAGCAAGCAATGTTTGCTTCATATGTATTTATGTCTTTCCCTTGTCTCTGATTTCCTTCTAAATATATTTTTGGTTAAAGATATTTTTTAATATACAAGGTTTTATATAGAGATAGAAATGAGTTTCTAGTTTTGGAAAAAAGCAGCGTGTATACATGGGGAAGGTGAAGTTAAATTTGTATCAACTCGTCCATCTTCCTTCTTAATTCAATTCTTCATAAAATAAATTCTGTATGAGATATCTGAATGATTTATTTATTATGAGACAAATAAAGAGCGTAAATAAATTTCTAGGTTCAGAAATTAAACCATGCGATGTTCCACCTTCAATACCAAATGCATACTATACTCTTGACAACACCACGGCTACTTATCATTGTTACCATGGCTACACAGGAAATCAAACAGACTCCACAATCAGATGTGTGAATTCACAATGGGAAGCCACTACGCTTAACTGTTCAAGTATGAATAATTCAGTGTGCACATGAAATTCTTAAACCCAAATTGTAATGGTGTACACTGAGCATATATTACTTGTTTGAAATTGTCCTATCCATTCTTTTTACAGAATTGTCTAGGGACAAAACTGTAAATATTTTGCCATAATTGAACTTGCAATGTGTTCTTTTATTCCATTACAGATATAACCTGTGGTCCGCCTTCAGATATCCCAAACACAGTTAAGGTATCTGACGGGTTCTATAATGGTAGCATGACAATATACTCGTGTCTGCCTGGTTTCTCATCTAATAACGAATATCCAAACACGACATGTAATGGAAGCCATTGGTCAAGTGTACAGTTTGCTTGTTCAGGTATCCTTATGAAGTTGACCTACTAACCTGACTCAGTCCGCCAGAACAATAAAACTTTACAACATTATTTAGAAAGACATAAAAATGAATGTTTTCATATTTGAAAGAAAAGAAGCATATTTAATTTTTTTTAGTGTTAAAACAATCGTTAAGAAATAGATCATTTACACAGGTAAAATTGCAACGTATGTTTAACATATGTTGAACATACGTTGAACATATGTTCTGAAACATATGTTCGCCATAAAAAACGAGCAACATATGTTCAACATATGTTTATGAACATATGTTGATCGTATGTTTAACATATGTTACTTGTATGTTTTGTTTGAACATATGATTAACATATGTTTATGTTCATATGTTTTTCATATGTTAAACATATGTTAAGTTTATTTCTTACTTACATTTATTATTTAATTATTTTGTATTTCTTTGGATTGCAAAGTTAACTAATTGGTACTCTTGTCCTTTCATCACTTAATAATAAGAAATCAAAGAACACAATCTCAAGCAATAATCTTGTGTTTATTTTTTTCAAATTTTTACATAATTCTGGCTTTATTTCCCTGACAGTGACTGCATTGCTTCTGAAATGATAAAGAAAAAATAATAAAAATTCAGAAGTCAATTACATGTACATGTATAATTGATAAATATATATACCTGTATTAGTTAGCACAAAGAGTAATTACTTTGAGCACTTACAATTTTTTTCTCGGCCTGTTCTTTGTTTTCTTCCATTTTACAACCCCTTGGAACCTCATCATAGGATTTGAAATTGTCACATGTTAAGGTACTGGGTGGCACTACAGTGGAGATTCCAATTTTAAGGTTCTGTTGATTAATACAGGTTCTCTGAAATACAAATTAAATTCTACATGTAATTTAAGTTCATACACTGAAATTTGTCATGTGCAAACAAATGCATACTCCATTCTCCTAAACAGTTATCCATTATATGATATGAGTTGAAACTAATTTCATAAAACATTATATGGTGTTGTATAACATCATATAATGTTATGTCCAAGACAATTTCACTCTTGGGAGATATGCTTAATAATAATATCTTGGAAAAAAAACCCAGTTTTTCTTGTTTACAAATGCATTTGGAATGTTGATATAGTATTATATATATTAATATTAAATGGATAATCAGATACAAATATATACTGTTTTTGGATATAAAAACAATACAGGCAAAATTACAGGCAGAGAAATAGACGTTTTGTTTCCAGTATTACTGTATATATCCCAAAATTTTGTTTGGAAGAAATTAACAAAGCTTGTAATACAGGGTGTACTTACCTATTCTGAAGCAAGCCTAGGGTCATGGTTTTCTTCCATGTTATTCATAGCAGGGAGGAGAGCCTATAAAAATTGTAAAATAGATATTTCATACAATAAATATTTTCCAATCAAATTCCAATCAAAACTTAGAAGAAACTTCGAAAGAGAGTGAGTACAAGTCTCTAGGTTCTCTAGTGTTGAAAAAAATTCTATGTCAATTAATATATAAATAAGTGATAAATTAGCTGATGGACTTTAAGGACATACGCAACATAGTTTGAACTTTATTGTCTCTTTCCTTGGAGTTGAAGAGTTCCAATACTTAAAGGAACTGTGTGCTAAATTTTAATGTCTATATATGTTATTGTACACTTCTTCTAAAACAAGTTTGGATAAACAAAACATCTAGAATATATGTTTAGTAATTTTTGTATATTTTTCTTTGAACTATACAAGAATTTTCATCAATTGATATCTTTTCAAAACCCCTGGTAATGCATGCTGATTTTTTGTCTACGAACATCTGATAGCACTATAATCTTAAATTAAGAATATCTCGAAAAAGTATCAGTAGGTAAGGTACGTTGCGTATGTCCTTAAATACATTTACACTATTATCTTGAATGCCAGATTTGGCTGAAATTGAGCATCTTTCAGATATTTTATAGTTGTCCTCAACAGTATCATGTAAAAAGTAACATTTCTTTTAATCACAAATGTAAATAAAAGCACAGTTTTTTCTTTATATTAGTTTGCTTAGGTCACGCATGCGCACCAGCAAGTAATCTTCAGCGCTCTGAAGTTTTGTTGTAAATAGAAGAAGAAGAGTTTAAAAGCCAGCAAGTTCTATCCATATCATTATCTTCAATATTTTAGTAAAAAAAAAAGTTGAATTTTTCATAAAGTAAACCAGTGTAGAATTAAGAAGCAAAATGAAATTTCTCAAGACTTATTTTGTTATTAAAGAGTCACCCTGTAATTACTGTGATTATTATATGTATGTATTTTCACCTGTATATTGTGATCGTGCAATCTTCAGTCAAATCAGCTTTGGGTTGATTCGTCAGTCTTAACAGCTTTGGGTTAATTCTTTCAATAAAAACGGCACTCTGACACTGAACTCCTGTTGCTTAATACATACTAAAAACAAACATTTTCCATTAATAATTTGATTAAAAAAAACCGAATGGATAACCATCTTAACATAGGCTATATACAAACTGCTATGCAACATTTCTACTTTCACTTTCATGTCAAAATCGTACATAAATACGCAAACGTAACTATTGACAAAAGGAAAACAAATCTGAAAAATTAGTAATGCTAAATTGTTTTTACATTGATCGAAAACAAATCCAAAATAACGTAGACAAGATCACTAGATGTATCGTCTTTTCACGAACTGCATTTTATAATTACAACTACAGCAGCTGTACAGCTAGATGTTATGCAAGTCACGAGAGTACTAGAAGTTCGTATGAATCTGTAACCCTAAAGAAATTCTCCTAACACAATGAACTAAATTCTAAAAAACATATCTGAGAGCACTTACTTGTTTCAAACATCCAACGCTTCTGCTGCAGCAGTGACGTCAAAAATGACGTACGTACACTTTCATCCGATAAAAACCAAAACCGGTCCGGAAATAAAATGTGGAATGATTGTTTTTTTTCACTCATATACATGTAATAAAACCAAACAAAACGTGGTAAGATACAAATTTATTAATTCCTGATAAATTTCATTTGGAGAATACAATGTTCAAGAAGACAAATTTTGATATGAAGAAAGGAGGGGGGGGGGGGTGAATTTGGAGAAACGAGTGGAGGAGGGTAACAGAGTAGTTAACCCATCCCCTTTTTTATGTAAGCTTCTACAAGAAATTATCATTCTTTTGAATAAATAAGTTTTCAAATTGATCTTGATAAATGTTTTTGGAATTTTTTTTTATCATGCAGTCTACTTGCATTTTCGAATCCAGAAGGGGGGGGGGGTGCTTGTCAACTCTGTTCGTCAGTGCCCCCTTCGAAAACCGTTGCTATGGGCTTGAAGTGCCTATGGTGCGATTCTATGCATAAGTGTTGGAGCACCGACCTGAAAACCCCCTTTCAAAATCTGCTGGATCCCCCTCACGTGTTAAAATGTAACATATAACTCATGTTTTTCATATTAGACTTAATATTAAATAATTGCTGGTTCACTGATTAACATTAAATTAATTAACATATTTTTTTACCTCATTAAATTAAAATAAATTTAATTCAAATAACGATAGCATTAATTTCATATTAAATGAAATAAATGTGAAAAGACTATTGGTTATTATAAAATGCTCAGTATGAATTTTATGTGAAACTCAAAACATATGTTGAACATATGTTTGAAACAACCATATGTTTAAAATATGTTCAACATATGTTAAACATATAGTTACCACAAACATATGCTCAACATATGTTTTGAGTTTGCTATATGTTCAACATATATTTCAAACATATGTTCAACATATGTTTTAAACATATGTTCAACATACTGTCGAAAATTCATATGGTCAACATATGTTCAACGTATGTTCAACATATGTTACTCGAAACATACGTTGAACATACGTTGCAATTTTACCTGTGTACAATAAACAGATAACTCTCGATGGCTCTAACTTTGACCTATGAAGCTACAGTGCCGCTATGCATAATGTTTTGTTATTTATCGTCGATACCTCCGTGACCAAGTGTTGCGTAATTGATACCTTTACATGTATCTGGCAATTTAAATGGCTGCAGGTGTTAGACGTGTGACAAAACCCCAACAAAAATTTACTATAGTAAGCTACGCTCTACTATAGTAAACTATAATAAATACTTTGATACTTTGATTTGCAATGAAACTTGACTTGAGAATTTTTGTGTGATTTCAAAAAATAAAACCTCTTTAATTAAATACCAAAGATGTTAAATATGGAAATGATATGTGAATATCCAAATAATGTTTCCATCTGATATAAAAAAAAAAATAATGTGCATGTATGAGTTGGAGAAATTAAAATATAACAATCTGAAATCCATGGTACCGGGTAACTTTGATTTACTATAGTAAAAACTTTGATTTACTGTAATAGTAAAAACTTTGATTTATTGTAATAGTAAAAACTTTGATTTACCATAATAGTAAACTTTGATTCTATAGTAAACTTCTGTTAACCACAGTAAACTATAGTTACACTTAACTATAGTAATTTTTTTGCTAGGAAAGGAACAGGATGTTTATTCAGGTGATACTCGTAATTGGTTGTCTGCTCATGAAAAATATTAAACTTGATAAATATAGGGGGCACAGAAAAAAAATGATAATGAGACGAAACCCTAATTTTGAGTCAGTGTAAAACTTCAATGAAAAAGATATAAACCCGTACATGCACTGGTTAAGGCGCATGCTTGGGTTAAGGAAGATGTGTATCAATTGGCTAAATACGAGTTATTAGAATTAAAGGGAAAAAAACAAATCAATAATCAATATGAGACGGCTATTTTAAGGAGGAGGAATTCGGAGTTGTATATTGTATATTAAAATCATGCAGACTTATAAATGTTACATTAGTTTTAAGTGTACCGGAAATGATATAACATAAGTACTTCATATAAGTATATGCATATGTTTTTTTCTAATTTAAATCAAGTAACAGTAACAAGTCTCAGATTGCCTTTCTTTATCCGATGAATAATTTGCCCTCTGGACTGAACAAAGTTTCAAAAGAACCAGCTTTGCCAATTCATGTATAAGAATTAACTTCTGGTCTTTGCACTGGCTTGCTGCAGTTGTCGTATTCCTCAATATTCGTTTTGTTGACCAGAAGTCTTGACAACTCCTACACGAATTCCAATTTAGAATAAGAAATCTCAAGTATTTACTTATTTTTTTCTATTTCATATAAATATAAGGAAAATACTGAAAAAATATCATTTGCCATTTTATTTATATATCTATTCTTCTTGTCCACTTTTTAAACAATGGGTTCTTCATATATCTTTTTTCTTTACAAATAAGGAAATAGAGATTGAGGTAAACGACTTTCGAGATTGGGAAGCAAAGATTGCAAACTACAGTACGGCTGATTTTAGTTGAATAAATATCACTCATATTCCCTCTCAAATACATTCAATGTTTGAATTTTTATGAATAAAATATAGAGGGACGTTACTAATTTTCAGTTTCAGATAGCAAATGTGATCTACCACGCACAGTGCCAAATGCATACTATGTAATCGACAACAACACGGCTACCTACCATTGTTACCATGGCTACACAGGAAATCAAACAAACAACACCGTCAGATGTGTAAACTCACACTGGGAAAGCATAACGCTTAGTTGCTCAAGTAAAAAAATAAATAAATAGAAGCAAATACACAACTTTCAAAACAGAATAAAATGAGTTTTAAAATATGTCATTCATTGTAGTAACCGGAGTACTGAAGAGCAAATTATTCTTACTCATTTGTTTAAAAAAATTATAAAGTCTTTTTTATTTTAGATATTTCCTGTGGTCTTCCTTCAGATATTGCAAACACAGTTAGAGTATCTGACGGGTTCCATAATGGTAGCATGACAATATACTCGTGTCTGCCTGGATTCTCATCTAATGACGAATACCCAAACACAACATGTAATGGAAGTCATTGGTCAAGTGTACGGTTTGCCTGTTCAGGTATCCTATTAATTGATATATTTTCATCTCAGTACGCAAAAACAATAAAAATTTGAAGCATTTTGTAGAACTACTGGCTTTGAGGAATCGGCTTCTCCGGAGAAAAGGTCAATTTTTTATATATCAAGGGAATAAATGTTGCCTTAAATTAGTTTTTCCAGTTTAATTCGAAATGGATTTAAATTATAGTACATCTTTTTTTATCTGAAAGAAAGGAACCTTATATCTTTTTCTGAACGCGTCTAGAAATTGACAATCGTATAAAAATAGATCTTTCACAATATAAATTAAGTACAAATGGAGCTAAAGCAAGAAAACATTTATCTATCCTCATTTTTACACATCTGCTTATATATTGATTTGAATGAATTTTGAGATTCAGAGAGTAGAGATTTTTACAAAACAAGTATTTATCTTTATTTCTATTAAACATTCGAATCTTCTTTCTGGATTACATTCTGATATATCTGTGGTTTCTCTTATCATTAAATTATAGAGGGCAGTACATGTATAATTTTTGGTTTCAGAAAGTACATGTGAGTTTCCAAATTCAATACCAAATGCATACTATGTAATCGACAACAACACGGCTACCTACCATTGTTACCATGGCTACACAGGAAATCAAACAGACAACACCATCAGATGTTTGAATTTCCAGTGGGAAACTATAACGCTTAGTTGTTCAAGTAAGATTTGTGAGAGTACAAACGTATACGCAACGTTGGAAACATACTAAAATGAGTTTTTAAATAAGTCATTCATTGTGATTACTTAAGCATTGAATAGAAAAAAGTTCTACTGATTCGTTAAAAAAAACTTTTTTTCTTTTTAGATATTTCCTGTGGCCCTCCTCCAGATATTTTAAACACAGTAAAAGTATCTGACGGCTTCTATAATGGTAGTATGACAGTATACTCGTGTCTGCCTGGATTCTCATCTAATAACGAATACCCAAACACGACATGTAATGGAAGTCACTGGTCAAGTGTACAGTTTGCTTGTTCAGGTATCCTCATTATTTGATGCTCATAAATTTACTTAGTCCCTCAGAACTATAAGAATTAAAGCATTTTTTTTTAGAACTACTGGCTTAAATGATCGGCTTCTCCCGAACAGAGGGTCAATTCTTGGTAAAAATATTATTTTAGTTTATCCAGTAAAATTCAAAATCCACTGGTCTTGTTAGCAAATATTTTTCATTTCTTAAAAAAACAAGCAGGATCTTTATTTCATTTTCTGAAAGTGATAGAAATAAACACTCGCATAGAAAGGGTTCAATAACAATATAAAAAAGTTAAAATAAATCGAGTCCAAGCAAAAAAAATCTTCCATTTACCTTCATTTAAACAAACATGTTTATTTACTGATTTGAATGAATTTTGAGATTCAGAGAGCAGAGCTTTCAACCTACCAACTATCTGACTTTATTTGTATTTAACTCCCTTATCTTCTAGCTCAATTACATTTTGATAATTATTAAGTTTTCTATTATAATTAAAATATATAAAGGGACGGTATTTTTCAGTTTCAGAAAGTACATGTGAACTTCCACCTGAAATACCAAACGCATATTATATAATTGACAACAACACGGCTACTTACCATTGTTACCATGGTTACATAGGAAATCAAACAAACAACACCGTCAGATGTTTGAATTCCAAATGGGAAAATATAACGCTTAGTTGTGCAAGTAAACGTTTTAAAAGTAAATGCTTATACTTTCAAAACATATTAAGATGAGTATCCATTGAATTTACAGGAGTATTGAAGTGCAAATACTTATAAACGATCCATTTAGAAATTGTTTTTTTTATATTTTAGATATTTCCTGTGGTCCTCCATCAGATATCTCAAACACAATTAAAGTATCTGACGGGTTCCATAATGGTAGCATGACAATATACTCGTGTCTGCCTGGATTCTCATCTAATGACGAATACCCAAACACAACATGTAATGGAAGTCATTGGTCAAGTGTACAGTTTGCTTGTTCAGGTATCCCAGTTAATTGATACGTATAAACTAAATCAGTTCGCGAGGAACAAAAAAAAAAAAAAAATAAAATAAAATAAAATAAATTAGTATACGAAGAACCAATAACTTTGATGTCTCGGGTTCTCCCGATCAAAAGGTCTATTTTTGGTATTAAACACCCAATTCTATGTTAACGCCCCCAAAATCTACCTAATTCAAGATCAATAGTATACCGCCTGTCAATCATTAAAAAAACAATAGCTTCTGGTTTGATTGACGGGCCTGCCACGTGGGCTACCTGATAATCTGAGTTTGCATGTTTTGAAAACAATTACCTGGTCACGCGTCAAACACTTTCATGTACCGCCTGAAAGGTCGCTTTGTATACACTCTGGTTAAAAAAAATCATGTCGCTGTTATATTGGTTGACAATTTTATTTTTTTAAAATAATTGGGAGTAGATAATTAAACAGTGACTTCGTGATTTTTTTTTCAATCTCCACTACTGTTTCGTACTTGTTAGCGATGTGACGTCCAAGATAACTGTATATACGTAGAACTTTTCGAAGAAAAATTAGCGGATATTCAAGCCCTCTTTTCTTTCAATAACTGAGATTAGGAGATAGAAAAGGTTTCTTTAGCAGCACAGACTGATAATTCTTCCGAACCCCTTATTCAACCTGTGCCTTGATTTGAAGAATGTACGTAATGCCCTTGTCGACCTTGCACTTGGGAATATCAATTCGCCGTAATTGGAAACAATCGACCCCCTCCCCCACCATTTGAAACTTATAACAAATTGCAATGGATTAAATAAGAAAAGATACTAATATAAATAAAGTATCTTGTATCTAACGCCATGAATTACGAAAGATTCTTTTTATATCCAAACCAGTAAACAGGGCATAAGTACACGTACCCTCGGAAATGGCGAATATTTGAACACCATTGTTCGCCAGAAAAGTAAATATTCCGATCGTGGTAAATGTCCACACAATAAGTGGAATCTTTTTATTTCAGTATTCACACTTAATATATATTTTATAATAATTTCTTTTATTGGCGATTAAAATATTGATATGATTGCTTTATAGTTTTCGCCCGTTTTTTTTTTATTTTACGATTTTTAAAAAAGATGTCATTTTAATTTTTTTTTTCATCAAAAGATATAGACGAAAACGCTAAGTGTACAAATTTTATATTTCAGTACATAATTAATTTCACTCAAAACTATGCACAAAACGCGTAATGTTGACCCTGATTACCAAAAGCCGGACTTCCTGTGTAATGCGGCGTGTATAGGGATTTTTGACATCTTGAGTATTGGGGCTCTCCAGGTAAATAACACCAGTGCTACCAAGACCACTCCCCCTCCTCAGGTAACCGTACGGTAAAAAAATTGGGTCTTTAATGCACCTTGAGTTATTGTGTCGCCTGCAGAGCAGAGCGACACCAAGGGATCACTTTACTGACATCTGTTTATCTGTCTGTCCGTCTATTACAATTATATTTTAAAAACTGTAATGAGCATGGGTTTGATACTTTGCGCAGACTTTGCTTGGCACCATGGCTTTGTAAATTACCATGGTTACTGATCTGGTAACCATTGAACTGGACCGTTGACCTATTTTTCAAAATGATAGTGCCTATATACAGCACTCATTTGATATTTACAGGTAACTTTACTCTATTTAGCATCTGCAGTTTGTCATATAATATTACAAAAAATACCTGCTTTACAGATCACTTGGCCTTGACCTTTGACCGACTCTACAAAATACTCTGGACCGTAAATTTAACTTGCATGTTTTAATTTTCATAGCTTTTAACACGCTTTAAAACTGAAAAAAACCTTAACAAAAAAAGGCATTATGTGTGACTACAGTTTTGTTGACTTGATCTCTCACTCTCTCTCTCTCTCTCTCTCTCTCTCTCTCTCTCTCTCCGAACAGTAGGTCAATGTTTACTTCTGTAAGTAAAATTCTAGATTTATTTGTAGTTGCTTTCATTTTTATGCCTGAGAAAAAGGAAGGTTATTTAATTTTCTTAACGCTTTAAAGAAATCGATAATTGTTTACAAATAGATTGTGAATAACAAAGAAATAAAGAATAATTGAGTAACAAGAAAAACACATGTATCTAACTTCATTTCTTACACACACACTCACACGTATATAGCCGTATATATACATATTGATTGGAATGGATTTTGAGTTTCAGAAAGCAAAGTTTTCATGTTACCATTTACTTGATTTATTTATATCAAACTCGTTCCTCTTCCTTCCCAATTACATTCTATGAAATTAATTGTTCCTTTCATTTCATGAATGAATTAAAGAGGTACATGCTTCCATTTTTAGTTTCTAAAAGTACATGTGAACTTCCACATTCAGTACCGAACGCATACTATACTGTTGACAACAACACGGCTACCTATCACTGTAACCATGGCTACATAGGAAATCAAACAAATACCACCATCAGATGTGTGAACTCACAATGGGAATCTATAACTCTAAGTTGCTCAAGTAAGATTTTGATAAAGAATCTATGTATACAAACTCTCATAAACTGAATAATAATGTACTATATCCTAAAATACGTCTCACTTTCAAGTTAAAGGGGCATAGGTAAAAAAAACTTTTTGACCGATATGGTTTTATATAATTATGCATATTCTGTATTGATTTTAGATTTTTCCTGTGGCACCCCTCCAGATATTTTAAACACAGTTAAATTATCTGACGGTTATCATAAAGGTAGTATGACAATATACTCGTGTCTGCCAGGATTCTCATCTAATAACGAATACCCAAACGCAACATGTAATGGAAGTCACTGGTCAAGTGTACAGTTTGCTTGTTCAGGTATTCACATTTATTTAAACTTCTTGATAAGAAAGGAAGATAACGAAAATTGATTGATTTCATAAAAAACTTATAAAAATTGTAAACAATACAAAAACCCTGAATAAGGCAAAAACACAGACCCCTCTTAACAATTCAGAGGTTGGATAAGATGCCTAGGAGGATAATCAAAGCGTGTCAAATGGTCACCTCCGCTGTGGGCCCTTAGTATTGATAAGGTAACCAGAGTAATCTCTGGTTCATTTAGCGATACGACAGTAGCCTAACATTTGGTATAAAACATAAAATTCAAAACAAAATCCAGGGATAAGCCATATTTACAGTCAAGTTCACTTAATCCATCATGTCAAACAGACATTTCAGATTTTTTGGAAGTCCATAAAATATTAAATTAAATAGAGTAAATGTGGAACCCTAGCATCTTTTTTCGATCAGATGTGTACATGTGTAAAATAAGATTGATGTTTTTATAAAATAATTTGTAAATGGCCTTCTCAATTCCTGTGTTCCCGTTTTTTTTAAATTCATTTTCAAAACTTTTTTTTCATTTATCAAATTAAAAATCCTAAATTTAAAGTTAAACGTCATTTCAAATGCTTGTTCCTAGTGCTTGAACCACTGAAGGAAAAGTGAAAATATAAGCAGAGTGATTATTGCTTATTTTGACGAGGTAAATGACAGGTAATGAGCGGAAGCATATTCGATATAAAATTTCTACAATACTGTCAATTAATAACTTGGATAAAATTAAATGATTTTTAATTTTGGCTTAGATATGTTATATTCTAAACCACTGCTTATCCCAGCTAATATTATATGTAAAATGAATATAAAAGTTTGTGTAAAAAAGGTAGTGAACACACAAAGGCCGCATGTCTATTGAAGAAATAGTCGCCTATGATGCGAATTTTTCATTGGAATTTTTGTAATAAGTGTGAAAAAGTCAAAGTTTTAATGCCATTGATTTTTAAAATACGTGTTTTTATGTATATTAAGGTTTTGAAAACAAAGTTTTAAGACCTGAAGCATAAATATATCTGTTTAGAACAAGCTTGCTCTTATCCCCCTGATGTGGCCAATGCATTCAAAGTAACAAATGGATTCAGTAACGGAAGTACAACGTCATACATGTGTATGTCTGGGTACATTGCCAATGGTGCCATTCCAGTAATATCCTGTAACGGAACACATTGGACCAAAACTTTGTTTTCATGTTCGAGTATGTATATAGATATTTCAAACCCTTTTTGAAACTGAAAAAAATGTATTACGGAAATCTTGACAGTAATCAGTACATTTAATGTAGCACTATGTATCAATATGTCAATTTGTAAAATCAGACGTTAATGGCTATATGATTTTCTCAGTCAATTGAAATCAATATTTTTATTTTTTTTCCGTGTATCTCAGCCCAGTTATGCTTTTTGTGTCTCAGAGGCTTGTGTTCCTTAGTTTGAATCACAAATTTGTCACGGAAACGTTTTTGTGAGGAACAGCTTATTGTACAAATTTTTGACACAGTTGTGCCATAGGAGAATCTAAATTTTATATAACTTTGTATATATAATGTGGCCGACTATTTGCATTACATGTATGGCATAAACTAAAAGGAAAATTTCCAATGCGTTTTAAAACTGCTATTCTTCAAATTAATCATTTTCCTTACAGGACAGCTTGAAACCAATCTAACAACAAATGACACAGCGATCGCATATGCTCTGGAGGGCCTTAAGATTCCAAGAAAGAAGACAACAACTTATAACCGTAGTTTGAACTGTGCTAGTGATTCCCGTCCTAGTGCCCAGGCTATTGGTGCCGTTGGTCTGGTTGTCATCTCCCTGTTTGTGTTACTAATTATTTTAGCAGATTGTGTATCTTTCTATCAGAAAAGGAGATTAAGAAATATCACGAAAAAGACAAAAATGAGGTGATACTTAAAAGTACTTTACTTAGAAAGTATTCTTCCACTTCCTCGAGTGCAAATGAAGATGAGATTGACTTTAGTTGTATGTTGAACACCCATTATTGTTAATTTTTTCCCCCACTAAATCAAGTAAATGGTACTAATGGAAAAATTAATTCGTATATATCCTACTTGATTTGAAAAAAAAAAAAATTACTCCTCTTTACCAAAAAAAAAATCAAAACCAAAAATAAAGTAATTCAGCAAAACACAAAAGTTTAAATAATAATAATAATATAGAGAAGGAATTCAAATTCCTGTGGAAGAGAATGACGAAGAATTAATATTATTATATGGTCTATTCATAGTCCCCATTTTTCTGGTGAATAAGAAACCATATTCACCACCGAAAGAGTCCATAATTGTAGAGTATTAGGTTATCATGTTTTTATCCTTGAATGAATACTCTTCGACTTCAAAAATAGCGATAAATAATTGCAGTACATACATGCATCGCATCATCAGTAAGCCAGTATCCCAGCAGGCATTTCAACGTTGATTCAACGTTGAATCAACGTTGCACTTCAACGTTTGAATCAACGTTGAATTTTGGTTGCATATGAAAGTTAAGGCAACGTTGAGACATCAACGTTGTTTCAACGTCAATTTTCAACGTTGAATAGACGTTGAAAATGGGTTGAACTTTGGTTGATTTATAGTTGAATTTTGGTTGCAAATGAAAGTTGAGGCAACGTTGAAACTTCAACGTTGTTTCAACGTCAAATATCAACATTGAAAAAAGGTTGAACATTGGTTGAAATTAGGTTGACTTTTGGTTGAAATATTTTGGTTGTACAAATGTTGATATTTGGTTGAAATCACGTTGAAGTCATACTGAGTTTTGCTTTATAAACAAATACATTTCACATTCTAATAAAAGTTTTTATTCTAGTTGCGAAATATGTAAGTTGTAATTCAGTATTAAGATTCTGTGTAAATTTATTTTAAACTATATTTTAAAAACAAAGATAAATCCAGGATCCAATTACCGAATCTCAAAAATCACTGTTTAACAAAATTTATCTTCCTCGTGAAAGGGGGTCACAGTAATCATATCCAGGTTAATCATATCATGCATCTGTCTAAAACTTCCACAAAGTGGCGGATCCATTGATTTTAAATCACGCGCATAGTTACATGTAAGTCACACAAAATGACTCGTCAGTCGGAAAGAAATGAACAGGAAGCTCCATCCTCTAATGCAAAACCTATTACCAAAAGAAATAATGATATGAAAGTCATTTATTTGATAACTTGTTATTTCAAATGATAAAAATGTACATGAATAATTAAAAAAAAACAGACAAAAGTACATGATCTTATACTTGGAATGAATGAAAAGAATTATATTTCTCCTCGTGTAAAAATTCATAACTGTAACAGTATGATTATAAATAATTATTACTGAAGAAAAATGTTAAAAACATGGATGTGTACATACACAATGTTGCATTCCTTTGTAATTTTCACAGACGATGAATCTCATCCAACCAGGGCATCAATTACATCTCAAAGCCGCCAGTGGTTGATAAAACCTTACGGCCAACTGCAGTTAAATTGTATACTATATTTTAATTTCATGTGCAAATGAATATCAACCAAACACATAAATAGTAACACAAACTAAGGATTTGCATTTCACGCATATTAATTTAAACAATATTTTATTATGTATAATCATAATAAGGTTGGACAACAGGCACTGCCTGTATAAGTCCTCTCCATAATGCAAGGTCAAAGTCATACATTTACAAGTAAATATTAGTTACATATCATTGAAAAAATAAATATATACATGTGTATATTCAAAAGAAATTTATAAAAATAAGACAGAATAAATGGTAGAAAATTAATTATAAGTGAGCTGATGATATAATATGTTTGCAGTTTAACATATATGACTAACAAAAATAATACAGGTATAAATGTGAAAGTTATTAAGAACACATTAATAGATGCTGGTTCTGTGTTTGACAATTAAAAAAAAAAGAAAAGAAACAATATCATGCAAATCTCTTTGTAGATGTAATAAATTCAATAACAAGTTTAAATACTGCAATAGTTTGGTTGTTTGTAAGGATATTGTCTCCATTCAAAATAAGTTGTCAGGATAAAGGGATTGGTAATTGCGAAGTATTAAAGCTTTGCATTCAGATTACAAATATCCTTAAAAAACAAGAATAAAATGATGTATGGGTACTAGAAAATCTAAAATTTCTTCTTCTTAATCCATGAAAAGGAAATTATACCTACGGAGCAGAAGTTGAAAATCTAGTCTTAATCCTTGTACATGGCGTGTAAAATACATAATATGTGAACAGCAAGAAGATGCGCACTTCTTGTCCATCAGTTGAATTCAAATTTTGACCTAGATAAGCTGCAAACAACTTCTCTGTATCGTTGCCCAGCAAGAAAATTGCATAACAAGGTTATCATGACACTAAAACTGACCAGCTAAGCTAGAACCACTCCTTATCTGATGCCTTGAAGATAAATTTGGGGAGTGGATCTTAGTAATGTAAACTGACCGGGGTTAATTGTTAGTGTGAAAACTGTTAAACCTTTTTGTAACGTGTTTATTTTAATGTTTTTATATTTTGTGATATGAAAGATTATAGTAAAACATCTAATACAGTTTCCTTTTTTTCCTTTCATATAAATGCAACAAAATTAAAGCACAATCTAATGTAAATTCAGACTTCTTAGATCCGCCCCGTATACATTCGATTACATTAATTTGGAATAAATTGTTATTTTTATTAATTCTATAGTAACATGGAATTACAGTGAAGTATTGGATAAAGATGTCATTATTTATAAAAAGCTTATCTTAAGCACAAAAAAGTTTCTCTTTTTCATTTATATAAAAACACTGCATTCAGAATTAATTTACAAATTTTAAAGTTTTTTGAAACATGCAATTACAGTGGAGAGTTGAATATAGTTGTCATACTTCATATTAACTTATATTAAGCATTTTATTACAGTACTGTAAGCACAATTCTTTTGAATGAAATTTAAATAAAGTAATTCATAATACATTTCATTTATTGCGAATAATCATGATATTTTCTAACAATGCATATATATATAGCAAAAAACTACACTGATTTAGCGTTCAATAACCCTTAGTATTTTGACCTTGAAAAATAAGGCGCTCATTACTCGTTGTTTCAACATTAAATTTTCCTCACTTTTTCAATGTTGAAAATATGTTGCATCCTCGATGTTGTTTCAACGTAAAAATATCAAAGAACATTCAAAGTTGAAAATATGCTGCATTTTTAACATCGCTTCAACCTTAAAATAACAGGAAATATTTAACGTTGAAAATATGTTGAATCTTCAACGTTGTATCAACGTTGAAATATAGACAAACATTCAACGTTGAAAATATGGTGCAGCTTCAACGTTGTTTCAACATTGAAATGACACCAAACATTCAACGTTGAAAATATGCTGAATCTCCAACGTTGTTTCAACGTTGAAATATCGACGAACATTCAACGTTTAAAATATGTGGCATCTTCAACGTTGTTTCAACGTTGTAAAAACGTTAAGGGTTCAACGTTGAAAATATGTTGAATCTTCAACGTTGTTTCAACGTTGAAATATCGACGAACACTCAACGTTGAAAATATGTTGCATCTTCAACGTTGTTTCAACGTTGTAAAAAGGTTGAGAATTCAACGTTGAAACCTCAACGTTGAAACAACGTTGAACTATAGTTGCTCAACGTTGCAACCTATATTCCACCTATTTTCAACGTTGAAACAACGTTGCGTGCATGCTGGGATGTCTTCAATGTTAAACTACTAACTTAATATTATTAGAACAAGTGATTCACCAATTTTCACTTCAATGATTGCAAGCTCAGTCTCTTTCTCAATAATATGTTTATGATATAATTAATCATGAAAAAATTTTGAGTTGCTCTTTCTCATTTCGCTTTTACTTTTTCAAAGTGTACTTGACAATCTATCTTAGCCTGGTCAGTTTGTTAACTTTTATTGAATGAAAATGAAAGGTTGGTACCCTCTGAGCTTCAAAGAAAATTCCAACACTATTTTTTAAAATCATTTGTATTATAGTATAATATATATCATTAATTACTGGCTTTAAAAAACTATACCCATATGAAAGTTCCCCAATATAGTATAGAGGATGCAACATCCTCTGTATCAGACAGTATCCAGCTTCAGTATTCTTCAGTTAAGACTAGCACAGTGGCAATTCATTGTTGACACGATACAAAGAGACTAACATAAGATGCACGATTCCGAATTATTGAACTCGATCAAATTCGATGCATACTTGATCCTTCACGCATATGATCTATTCCCACCATTGAAAGCCGTTAAAAGCCTTAGTTAGGTCCCTATGCTTCTTTTACATTGTATACCCCGGTCTCTTACCTACGAAGGCCAATTTTTAACTACCGTGTATACTCGCCTAAAAGTCGTTTTTTGGGGGAGTTGAATTTTAGTTCAAAACTCAATATGCGAACTATAGGTGAGTCATTAAAAGATTTGTATTTTTCTAGACAGCGAAACTTAGTATTTTACAAACATTTCCGACAATTATCATTGAACAAAGTCTGGATTACTATATCATTTATGTATTCTAAGATTATACATAAAATACAAGTATTTATATATTTTAATAATTTTATATTTTATCTTAAGAAGACATAACTTATTTTTCTAATGAATTAAAATTAGATATCGACTTCATTTCTAAAAATATTAATTGAAACCAGGTTAAAATATCAGAGCATGTATTTGAAATTGTCATCTGATTCTGGCAAAAAGTTGTACCGACTAACAAGCGGGTCAATGGCAAATACCTCCAAAATAACCTTAAAAAATACAACCCACTGATAGGCGGACCGACTTATAGGCGAGTATAAACGGTAACTACTTCCGACGGAGATTTATTCGGATTATATCATATTATGTGTGAAATAAA